GCACAAGGCTCTCAGCACTTTTTTAGCACAGCATGCAATCTTTCAACACTGTTACTCTGGGGTGATACACGGAGTTGTGCAAAATTTTGATCCCGCATTTCTCAAGAAATGTGGTTGTAAGTGCACTTGTAAATGTAGTCCCTTAGTCTGACTGTATCTCCACTGGGAAACCCAGGCGAGAGAACACTATCAATAGGGCATCCACTACCTGCACTGAAGTTGCCTCTTTTAGTGGTATGGCCTCAGGAAATTTTGTTGCTGGACACAACGTAGTCAATATATATTAGTAACCAGACTTCGTCTTAGGTAGGGGTCCAACAATATCGACAAAAACCCTTGAGATTGGTTTCGAAAAACAGGGACCCTTACCATTGGGGCCTTCTTCTTGTCGTTGGATTTACCTACCTTCTGGCACGTCTGAGAAGTTTGCATGAACTCCTGTATACCCCTGAAACAACCTGGCCAGTAAAATTCTTGAAGTAGCCTCTTTTTAGTTTTGTTTACTCCGAGGTGCCCTGCCCCTGGGTGATCGTGGCAAACACTCAGCAGATCCTTCCGATAATTGACTGTAATTACTATCTGATCTCAGTTTTTGCCATGTTTATCTTTGTAGTGGCGATAGAGGATACCACCTCTCTGCCTGAACATGATGGTTTTTGACGAGACGCCTTCGCCTAGGCTGCTGCGCACGACCTTAAGCATTGGGTCGTTTTTCTGTGCAGCCATTTGTGCATCTCGACCAAGATTCAGTAGTGTATGCAAAGATGCAGTTGGTCTCAACAAGATGCCCTCGCGCTCAGTTTCGGTGTGCCCTTTACGCCCGGCATCTATATGCGGGCACACCGCGCCAGCATTAGCTCCATCTTTTCCCGCACTAACAGAATCTTTGAACTGTGTTTGTTCCTCTACATTTCCCCCAGTTACTGATTGCTGCACATGAGGTTCACCTTTACTCTCTGCATAACGCAACTGTGCCGAAAGCTGCCTGGCTTTCGATCGCGTCAGCGCGAGCACCTGTGTGTCAACGCCAGCAAACTTCTTTCCCTGCTCATTCAACAGCATTTCAGATTTATTAAAAAAACGTTAAGGGTGATCTCGGGCAACCCTTTTGAAAGAGGTGCCACAGTTTCCAAAACACCAAATGGCCCTTCGACTTCAACTTTTGCTGCTGGCGGACACGTGGAATCTTCGCTGACTGCTTGGCGAATCCAAGCGCAGTCAGAAATGTAATCCTTACTTGATACGTACTTTAGGTGGACCACATCCATAGTGGCTGCCGAATGTTTGAGTACTTTTCACTTCTGGCCACTTACAATTTGTTCTTTTGTGTATAGTTTTAGTAGCTCAGTGTTACTGGGATCACTGCTTCTTATAGTCGCCAATAGACGCTTTTCTTTTAGGCAGTTTTTGGCAAAGTGACCCTCTTCTTTGCAAATATTGCAAATTGTGGGCCGTCTCTTTTCCAATTCCTGTGACTGGCTCTCTGGCCCTTTTCCTTAGACTCCCTGCTCTTTTATCACGCTCACACCTGTTGCACTGAATTGACCTGTCCTTTGCCCTCTCCATCCCCCATGTCCCGTGGTCCTTTATGATAATGCTTCTGCCCAGGGTCAGGCTTTCGATAGCCTTGATTGCTGAGGCCAATCTCTTTGAAGCCATGACTCGCCACGTACTCATCCGCAAGCTGCCCTGCTTTCTTCACACAGATGCCAACTTGTCTATCTCTCATCCACAGGCGTATGTTGTTCGGCAAGCACTCAAACAATTGCTCAAGTCAGATTAAACTCTGAAGCTTACCGAAGTCGCCATCCGCACCCGAGCCTTTTATCTATTCGAACAAGTTATCAGTTAGGCTGCAAGCAAACTCAACAAAACTTTCATTCGCTTATTTCCTTCCTGTTCTAAATGTTCTCCTAATCTCTTTGGTTGAGAGCTGCAGGCTTGACTTCACCAGATCATAGTCACTTGCTTCACCAGCACAAAGACGAGCAACAACCTGTGATGCATCCCCTGGAAGCAATGCAAGCAACCTTTGTGGCCAAGTGTCGCGGGTGAATGATTGTCTCTCACACATGCATTCGAAATTCATGAGGTACAGACCGATGTGATTCCCCACGCTGAACGGCTGAAGCAAACTAGTCAGGCATCTTCACATGGTCGGGCAAAATGGGTGCCATACTCACTGCCGACGCCCATCTCGCCGGCTCAAGCCTTATTCTTTCGAGTTAAAGCTCCAGTTTTCTATTATCTCTCTCAAGCTCCAACTATGCTTGTCTTTGCCCTCTATGTTCGTCCTTTTTTCTAGCGTCTGCGCGTTCTTTCTCAATACGGCATATCTTTTCCCATTCCTCCGCGATTTCCTCCTCTTCAAAATCAATTTCCTGAATCGCGTAGCAGATCTCGGGTTTCCTCATTTTCTGATTTACTTCCACACCGAGTCTTTCCGCCAGTACCAGCTATTCGTCTTTTGTTAGCTTCCTTATATATATGGTAAGGAAGAGCTGACTACACCAATTTTTGAAATAATCACGCACCCTGTGGTGACAAACGAAAATTAATAAGCCCGATTGAACCCAGTTATAATCACCTGGCAAATAGTAGTCGCTCAAGCAGTCACCGATACCACGAGCATGTGGTGGCCTTGTCTCCTGGAGACGGCGCCTTATCAGCCGATCCCAGATCGACGACTTGCTATGGTTGTGGATTCTTCCTTTCTTGCTTCGGCTGCGTAGTGGAACCCGATGATCCCAGATCGTCGAAGTTCTTTCCCTTCAGCAGGTGTCCGCCAGCCTTATTTACGCCTTACCAGCCGATTCCAGATTGACGACTTGCTCGTTGTGAATTCTTCCTCGCTTGCTTAGGCTGCGTAGAGGAACCCGATGATCCCGGATCGTCGAAGTTCTTTCCTTTCAGCAAGTGTCCGCCAGCCTTCTTATCCCACCACGGCCACTAGTTTGTTGGGGATGGATACGACAGTGGACTTGGTGAAGGTTTTGAATGGTCTTTATTTTCTACGCAACCGTAAACAAAGGGCCCCAGGCTCGTTTGAGAATACAGGTGGTGTTCCCGAGCAGTCGGTCTCTCTGGCTGCCGGAGGTCGACTTCCGTCGCTTGCATGATGCTCTTCCGCCTCCGATGCTATCACGCGACCCGGCTGTGGCCTCCCAGACACCGCGGTTGAAAGTCGATGCTCGGTTCGAAAGCAAGAGGTGCTCGGTTCGAAACAACGATGCTCGGTTCGAAAGCAAGAGGTGCGTTGACAGACAAATACCACTCGCTTCCCATAACCATTCATAGGAAGAGCCGTGGTCTGTTCAGGATCCGTTAAACGACCGTCGTGGCGTCTCCAGCTTGCGGGGTGCGAGGAAACGACGTTAAATAATGCACGGCTGCAACACCAACATATTTTGGACAGAGTCCGCGAACCTGTTGTCACGCAACAATATATGCATTTATGCAACAAGGAAAAAAAAGTGGCAGTAGCAAACACAAGGTCACAGTGGCAGGCTTCGCAAGTGCTTTTTACACATTCATTCCCGAACTTATTTCTCTGTCGTATTAATGAACATACTATTCGCCACAAACTATATGCAAATGACTATAAAATAGTTTTTTTTTGTTTTATGTTATTTACTGAACATATAAGACGCATGGTGCAAGCTGGAGGGGAATCTATTGTTACAGTATCGACAAACTCAAGTGTGATAAATGTTTCAGTATAACTGAACTGCACAATCGCTTGAGACAAACTACCACATCGTGTAGAAGGGAATGTGTTCTCTAAAAATTATGTTGGCTAAAATTTACACATTTCAGTAGAAATTGCACCAGTATGACCCAAACAAGATATTAGTGCAAAAGAATGTGCACATTCCAAGCTACCTGCTTGGGATGTGCATTTTCACAAGAAGATAGCTTCGGAGCCCTTAGCCCATAATTGCCCATTTCAATTTGTCACTAGTGTACCATCTGTGAATACTCAAAGTAATTGACAAAATACCAAATCATTATTACAGTGACTCAAAATGTCTCATGAAACTCTTACATTTAGAACAGTGCTTTTTTTAACCAATTCCCTTCGCGACACTACTTATGTACGAGGTAGTCATCATTGTCCTTTCGCGACGCTACTTCTGTATGAGGTAGCCATCATTGTCGCTGAAAGAATGTCTTCACAGATAACCGGTACGACAATGGCCTGAATGATGTGGAGTTAAGAATAGTGTTGGCTCTGCATGGGGGACTTCAACAACCTTTTGTCTTTTTGCAGAACTCGGGAAAACACTGCCAAAGTTGGTAACGGAAGTGGAGATTACTTAGCTAATTGGTCTATCCTGGGTATACTTTGGTTATCCAGGAAATCGACTCATGAAACAAGTATGATGTACCTACTTAGCGTACCTCAGCACTCACTTGAATATTTATTTGGCTTGCACTATTGGCATGAAAAGATAATTTTTCGTTAGAGAGCAAACTAAAGCTCCGTAGAGACAGATAACAAAGAATGATTACTGTTACTATACAAAGTCGATCATTTTCAAAGTCTCAGCTTCTTTCATATGTATTCAAAGTGTAAGGAAAGGGACAATATTTTTGGCAGAATAATGGTGGTGATCACTGAATTCGAAAATCAGGTTTCCAGTGGTCGTTGCAATGCATTTAACACATTGTAGCCTGCATTTCAGACAGTGTTACTATTGTGTTGTTTCTCTAAACTACCTTGGCCCAACTTTTGCATGGTATACTGCACAATCTTTAAGAATTTATAGCTTCACTTCATGACTGCGGAGTGAAATAACCTAATAAGGTAAATAATGCCTGCCATGGACAGTTGGAGCATACTTTTCAATAGGCCAAACAAAAAACATCATTGGTGTGCTGAAGTTGGTGCAACATACTAACGACATAGGTTATGTACTCCCTACAACTTTGCTGTGTTTACCGCTGCTGCTGATAAATTGAATAAAAACACGCTTATGGATTCACACTGTAAACCTAAGAAGTTCTCCAACCTTTTATTATGTAGATGAGGCTGAAGTGCAAGGTCATACTTAACAATGCTACAATGAAGTGTTTGTGCCAAGGTTTAGAAGAAGTCAAGTGAAGCCAATCTGTTTGACTTTTTGTGGTTGGGCTGTGTTACAAATGGGCAAAAAAAAAGGTTGACTTTTTTATCTTGATAATAAAGTTTCTCTTCCAAGACAATCACAAATGCCATGTTTCGCTGCCGGTCCGACTCAAACAGGTGGAGCGTCACTTGTGTTTCCTGTATAATTTTGCATTACATGGTCTGCAATACATACCATGATTTGCCTACATCATCTGGAGCTTGTTGATGAAGTGAGGGGCTTGCGTTCGGCTACCCTCGCTGACGTTGTGCCTGGAACTCCTCAGCCTTTGCTGTCACCACAACAGTAACGGCTATGGGCATGATTTTCTCCCTTTTAACTTTTCTTTCTTTAGTGTCGTTTTACTTGCAAGTCAGCTTCTCAATACAAGTGTGGTGCATAACAGTGTTCAATCATCTCGTTTTTCACAGCCATGTGCGCCTATCTTCACACATTACTTTTACGTGTGCTTGTCATCCTTCTGAGACAATTAATGCATGTTTCTTGGAATGTGTGTACTGTGTACTGTAATAAATCTTGGCTGTGAAAACGTGACACTGTGGTTTCACTACGGCAATTTATTTGCAGAAAGTGTGTGCCATCTTGGAATCAGTATGAGCATGAATAAAATAATTTTCAAGTTACAAAGTTCCGACTTGAAAGAAAGAGTGCGTACTTATTTTTTCACGTTATTTCAGCATTTACAAATGAGAAAAATGTACTTGAAATACCTGACTATCTGTTTCAGCATCGGTAGTTTCATTCCAAAGAAAGTGCGGTGAATGTGCCACAAAAGGTAACTGAGTGTAGCAGGTGTGCGTTGCCTAGACAGGAAGCGAGAGACAGTGCACAGGCGTAGTTCAGATGGCGCTAACAATTGTCGGCGACTGCAGCAGCGACAAAGTTGATACTGGTGTACAGTGGTTACAGTGCTTCACCTCTGACCCGGATCACACGAGCATGATCGAAGCTGTGGAGGTCGTACTTCAATTGAAGTAGAATTCAAGAGGCCTGCGTAGCATTTACATGCACATTTCAGAACCTGGGGTGTTCGATTTGTTGGAAGACCTGAAGTGAAGTGTGCCTTGTAATCATATCGTGGTTTCAGCTCATAAAACCCAATCAACCATTACAATTACAAAACTTTACCAAAGTGATTCTTTCCTAGTGAGTCGGCTGCACTCTGTCGCTGCTTCATAATTCCTAGCTAAGTTTCTGGAAACTCCGTAGCAGCTGATCACATAAGATGTCACACTACTAGATTTGCGGACGTGTGTCCCATTACTGCTGACAGCAGTGGTTGCGAGATCACATGAGGGTAAAATGCAGAAACATCGGTTTACTTCGTATTAGGTGAACGTTAAAGAACTGCGGACGCTTAAGCTCTTGCAATGCACCACAAATATTTTAACAATACAGGTAGCTGCTGCAGGCAGTGCAGTCACCTGCACACTTTTCTTAAATACTGCAGGTGTCGCTGCCTTGTCATGCCAAACAAGCTGATAACGCTGTTGCGGACAGCTTTCCCACGCAATTACACTCAGTATGCTGACTTTCCCCTTGTAAATCGAGGCTCGTGGTCATAACCTAGAGAGCTGCCATGCTCGCTGTCCTCGTGACCACTGTCATCGTTGAAACCACCAAAACCAATGTCACCTTCTATACAAAGGTTCTGCAACATTGTTAACATGCAGCAACAATACTAGAGGAAGGTTGTGGTCTGTAGTGGAGGGTACGGTGCCGCTAAACGCAGCGAAAACGGCTTTTGAGTAGCCGCCAATACGATGCTCCACTGTAGAACACAATGAAGCATGTGTAGTGGTGCACTTGCCTTCTGCACTATTCATGTGAAAACAGTCTTTTACCAGGACCATAAGCCAAGGCTCGAGGGGGCAGCCACCATCACCTGCAGAAATATGAATGGTGTTGTAAATACTGCTAAAATTAAAGTTACCGGTATCTCTGGAGGTTCGTTGACCCTAGAATACAAACAACTGAATCCATGGTATACCTGGCTAGCCTGACATTGAGCCCGTATCATGCAAAACCTGACTACTACGGCGAGGTGTTCATGGCATACCGCATCCCTTGACAATACTGCAGCAGTTTAGCCACAGCTGAGATATTGTGCACCGGTAGCATGCGACATAATGTCCCTTCTCAGTGTGCTGAAGTTTTATCAATGCCGTAACAGAATCTTTTGATGTGCAAAAAAACTGGCATTACACGTAAAATGGTAGTTGCTAGTCACAGTCGCACACCCACGCAGATGTGGTTGTCGTCATCCGATCCCGGTCGCAGCAGGTTCACGGCGAGAATCGGCATATCCGCGACTCAAATCTGGAAAAACCAAGAGCAATATGAGTCACGTATTATTGCGGGGGAAAATGCGCACGAGAAAATGGGAGCACCGCTACTTACGAGCATGACGTTGAGGGCACAATAACCTTCGCGGCGCCAGAAAGGTGCCTTCTTCTCACTCCTTGCTGTGACTAAGCTGCCGTCAATGCATCCGATCACGCATGGTAGAGGTCTAAACCGAAGGAATTATTCCTTCACCACTGCAATCTCCTCCGCCGTCCTCGGGAAGTGAACCCACTTGTTGTGGGTCCCGGTGTTGATGATCGCTCCAGCCACACGTCGCACACAAATGCTGACCATGGGCTGCGTCACTGTTACGGTGTCCTCACCTCCCACCGATGACTTGAAGGTTCCAGTGGTGAAGAAACGCGGGGCGCACACACACACTTTGCCGCTCCACTGAGAGCGCAGCTTGCGAATTTATCGGCGACATCGTCGCGCTGTTGCTTTACTAACGCGAAAGTGACGCCCAAACTGTTTGTTTGGCATGTCAAACGCGACCGCAACATCCCTCCTGCGCTTGTTGCAAGCCGCGTATAAGTAGCCAAACGTCACAGTGAAGGTCGCTGGCTGAGCCGGCACTGCCATTTCTCCTATTCCATTTGCGGCAGGCACACTTGCTGGCTGTTTTGCCTTAGCGCGGAACTGATCCCGTTTGTTTTTTTTTCTTTTTCATAATAAGCGCGTACTAGTTATTTAGACGTCACCACAAGCTACGCTTCCAACTCGTCACTTGACTGACAGGTTCAAAGAACAACCAGGGAGCGTTTACTTTTGCATGATGAGCGCATACTCGTCATTTCGACGTCACGACATTTAGGACTTTTGACTCGTCACTTGACTGACAGGTATAACGACCTATCAGGGAGCGCCGATGACGGCCAAAACAAAATATGGAGCACGGAATATCAGTTCGTCATACGGCCGCAGGCAGTCGGCACTAATGCAGCGAAGGTTTCCTGTAGTGCACTACATGCAAGCCATTTTGCATAAGTTGCGAAAGATAGCGAAAAAGGCTGAAGAGATGTAGTGTTTTCTGCTCCCGAAACGGTTACAAGGAATGTGCGAAAGGGTTAATGCAGGCAGTAGCGGGAAACGGGATTGTAAGATCAAGCACCGGGAAAAATTCATGAATTGTTGTCGTGGTGTTGTGTATTGCACTTTTTTCACATGTGATTGCATGTACACAAGCCAATCCATAAGGTGTGTGAACGAAAGACTCAGTGAATACATGTACAACGTAGGAAAAGCTGTATCTGGTTGTTTGGCCCTTCACTGTCACAGGTGTGGTTGCGTCCCTGTGTTTCTAAACACCCGTATCCTCTATAGAGCATGTGACAGAAGTACGCGTGAAGTCATTGCAGCCTATAAAATTGGCAAAATAAAATAAAAATGTTTGAGCGTGGCTTCAATTGCTTTTTCAGCTGAAGAAAAGAAGTATCTATAAGCTTCACTTTGACGTTAGCGTGTGAAGAATGTCGCATTCGGTGATGACACGTGCATGAGCTGTGCTGTATCTTTACATGATCTTTTCCAGGTTTGATTGGTTTACTGTTATTGTATAAATAGCATGTGTGATCGCAAATAAAAGCGGCACGTCAGCGCTGTGTGTGTGTGTGTGTGTGTGTGCGCGTGTGTGTGTGCGTGTGTGTGTGCGTGTGTGTGTGTGTGTGTGTGCGTGTGTGTGTGTGTGCGTGTGTGTGTGTGTGTGTGTGTGTGTGTGTGTGTGTGTGTGTGTGTGCGCGCGCTATACCCATATAATGACGACCACTGACACTGCCGAAATGGTGAGAATCAACTGCGATCAACACGCTACACACTGATGTCCCGTAGTTAAAAAAAAATGCAGACAAAGCATTCAGCACAAAGCATGCGACAATAAAGACATTTTTTTTTCAGTCATATGCACAACAAGCACCACGAATTCATTTAGGAGCCGTGTCATTCGCACACCTTCGAAGTAAACTTTTTGCCACATTGAATGCAGCAGTACATGATGGATTGGTATTTCAGCGCGTGTGACATGCTTGCCGCGATCTTGCCGACACGCTTCTTTGCCGCTTCAATAGACCTTTTTCAAGCCCACTAGAACCGCCAACGGGCGCGCAAACGCTTATGGGGAAAGTTGGTTGGCCGCAGCAGCCGCCGCGACGAGAGCGCGGGCCTCACGCTTCAAGTTTCCGTTTGCACCGTGCCAGCGCTTCTCAAATCGAGTGAACTGGGCAAGGTGTGATATAGTACTGCGTGATTCCCTTACAAACTGCAGTGTTAGGGTGCAATGGCATGTCAACAATTTGCCCTTGTCCCCATGCTCCACCAGCTGAGAAGTGTCAGTTAGCCCATCTGTTAATTATTATTTTCCTTTAGCGTCAGTCCGCCTTCGACACAAATAAAAAACAGAACAACTTCGTTGCGTAAAAAGTGCAAGCACTGTTCATAAATTCACGGATGTATTACCAATCAATTAATGTCTTTTCATGCTGTTTACGAGTAAATTGTACCGTTACGGTATATTTATAGAGCGCTTTAGTGGCTAAGGTACTCGGCTGCTGACCCGCAGGGCGCGGGTTTGAATCCCGGCTGCGGCGGCTGCATTTCCGATGGAGGCGGAAATGTTGTAGGCCCGTGTGCTCAGATTTGGGTGCACGTTAAAGAACCCCAGGTGGTCTAAATTTCCGGAGCCCTCCACTACGGCGTCTCTCATAATCATATAGTGGTTTTGAGACGTTAAACCCCACAAATCAATCAAATCAATCAATAGAGCGCTTTAGAAATAAGCGATACTTCTTAAAATAAAATGCATTGACTAGACCACTACGTGCCGCTCGCAGCATATGCATCTACCAACTTCCCTTCGCGCTGTAACTGCAGGTTGAAATAAAGCCTACAGTGCGAAAAAAAAAGTACGGCCAGGAAAAATTGTGCTCATGAGAAACGCTCACCCACGACTAAAAAGTTATCGCACGTGTTAGCAAACATGTATAAAAAACTGGGGTGCAGCCCGGATGTCACAAAGAGGCACAACAAGACTAACAACAGAGGCGCGTGTTTCCAGTTGCTCAATGAAGTTAAGTTTCTTGTGTTGTAGTGATAGCGAAGGTTAATTGAGTTAAACGAGGTGCGGTGTTTTTTATGCTATGTCTCCGAGATTACTCGAGTGGTCTGGTTAGAGTGGCTGTGCAATATTACCAGGCCTTCAAAGATGAAATTGCATTTGAATTACTGGAAATGCAAGGCGAGATGAGATGGCTTCATTCAATGAATTTTGATGCTAAGTGCTCGTGTTGATACATCAACCAGTCTTGCCGATCTATATATGTTAACACAAGAAGAATTCGGTTAGCAACTTTTGCACGACAATTGAAAGAACTATTGGCATGCCTCTCATTGTACTTCATTCTCCTGCCACGGCCGCTGGATGAAAAAGTGCACGATGCGCTTTTTCATCCAGCAGCCGTGCTCCTGCAACCTTTTGCGCTCTACGGAAGAAAGTTACTTAGCATATATGGTGTGGAAAACTCTACCCTAACCTCATATCGCTTCACAACTTCCTTTCAGACGGTGCAAAACGTATTCATAGATTAACTGCAACATTCCTTGTTTCTTCGCGGGTGAAGATCATCCGAATTCAACTTTTTTTTTTTTGCGGTGCGAACGAGCTGTTCACAAACCAATGCAATGTGTAATAAGCAGGACACCGCGGCTTCTTGCAGTTGCAAACTATTGCTCATGTAATGTGTCCAAGGTTTTTTTTTCTTCGCCGAGCATAATTATAATATTATTATTTCTCATTCAAAAACATTTGATTGCGCCAACGTGAAATTGAGTGGTGGTCTCACTCAATGCGAAATATACTGAAGCACACATGCTCCGCAGACACCTAAGCATCTTATAAAAAACCGCAAATTATTAGAGCAAAGAATATCGCACGTGCATTCTAGTTCTATCTCTTCGTGTTTAACCTCGTTTAGAATGCGTTTACTTTTTCTTCAGTGCGTGACTTGACCATAAAAATTTCATATAGCTGTAACACTTCTCTGCAGCCTTGTGTTAACGACCCAATCAAACCTCGATAATAATAAAATCCACAGCACTTTATGAACAGTTCATCGTTGAATACTTATGAATTCAGTGTTCCAGCTCACATTACTTACGATAGCATGTTTTTACCACATGTATCAGTAGGCAACAACTCGCACCCTGCTCATCACGTACACTCGTTTAGTGATACTTACACTGACTGGGTTATTTCTTTCACATTTCATGCGTCGATATTCGTGCAGGTGCGTTCCGACCCTATTCAACAAGCAGTGGCATGTTCTTTTCGTTTGTGCTCGCACGACTCCAACAAGCAGCGGGCGCAGGAAGAGTCGGTTCTGTCGGCGTACCAACATTTGCGAGTGGCTCTTAAGATAGAGAAAGGAAGAGAAAAGTGAGCCCCGTTATAGTCTGCTTCAGTGAGCGACACCGCCACAGGGCTCACAAGGGATGGAGGTGAGGAGGGGTAAAAAGGGTAGAAGTAAAGGTGTAGAAAAGAGGAAGAAGAAGCAACAACAAACTGAGGGGATAGGAGAGACAGGAAAGATGGAAGAACGGTCACTGGAGTCCGAGGACGGGGTACACTTGCGAGAGATGTTGTCGGCGTCTGTAGATGGCGTAGAGCAGGTCCAGTAGGTCAGAGCTACGCTGTCGTCGAAGGTCGTCGGCGACAAGACGTGACGTAGGGCGAGACCAGTCGGCCAGAGCTACGATGACGCCGAAGGCCGCGAGCGCGTGGAGCGCGCGGGCGCACAAACGGTCGGCACGGAATCTAGCGAGCGACTCCACGTACCAACTTTTCCCATAGTGCTCTGCACGCCCACGGGGCGTTGTGGAGTTGCTTGAAAAAGGTCTAACGTCCATGCGTCCCCCTTTCACAGCTGCACATAATTGGTTGAGCTATACAACGAGACCTTTTCTTCCAATGAAGCAAAGCTTCCGAACTCATTTTTGCAACACTGTACCCACCAGGAGGCTGGTCATAGCCGGCGCGCATACCGAAGATATTTCCCGGCATGGTGTTTGGGTCGTCTAGGGAAGCCATCGGTGGTCGGTTGAAACGGTCCTCTCAGTGCTGACCAGCAATACGGCACAGTGGCAGTGCAAAGCTATGATTTCGGATCAAGTTAGATTTCCACGTGAGCTACGCAATCAGCAGGACACCAACAGTGCGCTAACTTGCTTGCTACCAGGCTGCTCTCGATGTAACGGAATGGTGACTTGACTGCAGCCAACGAATGGCGACAAAGTGCCGGCAGCGTCCCGTGCAGCCTCCTCTGCCGGCACCATAGACAGTACCTTTTAATATAGTAAGAGGCCGTCAGTCACGCCTGATTGACTGTAGCGGCTGCCGGCACAATATCGGACAAAAGTAAAATGCCAGTAGCTGGCACAGCTTTTACGTGGATCTTTTTATTTCCAAACGCTACAAGGTACAAAATTCACGCCATCACAACATGCCATTTTAACATCTGCTTTTGATGGAGTGACTGTTCACTTT